GTTAGTCAGTATCACAAATTGACACTTGATGAAAGGAGGATCAAGAAACTGGCAAATTTGTAGACCAATGTATTAATATTGATAATTTACTCTTGCCTCATGTGTCTTCAGTGCTTTTTTAAAAATTTCTTTGCTCTCTCTGTTTCATTCTGATTATTTAAATCTCACTAACCTAAATCAGAGGTTAGCCCTGTTTTTTCTCTAAAAGGCCAGATAGTAAATATTTCGGGCTTTTGGGCCATTTATGGTGTCTGTCACATATTCTTCTTCCTTCTCCTTATTCTTTACTAACTTTTTCTGAAGGCAAAAACTATTTTTAGCTTACTGGCTGGAAAAGAGCAGAGCATGAAATTAATTTGGCTCACAGTTTATAGCTTCTTCTAAGATTTCCTCAGAATGACCAATATTCTGTTACAATCTTCTGTCAAGTTTGTATTTTTTGTTGTTGTTATTGCTTTGTATTTCTAGGACTTCATTTTGATTCTTCTTATGGGCTCCAGTTCCCTTGGGAAAGTCCCCACCTTGTCAACTATTTTCCGGACTATATTCATCACAATAATCCTAAAGTCCCTGTATGATATGTCCAGTATTTATTTGAAAAATTGTAGATGCTTTTGAAGGTATTATTCTGCTACAGAAAATATTTATTTTGGTTTTTTTTTGCCAGATTTCATCAGTATATCATCTTTGTAAGAATCTATCTAGTACTGAGATGTAGCTTTCCAGAAGTATTTACTATACTACGTTCTTCTTGGTATGTCCTGAACACTAATTTTTGTCTCCTTAGCACTGCAAGACTGCCAAAAATTATGAGCTTTTTGTTTGCTATGTCCATTTGCCTTATGCAAATTTAGATTAAGTAAGTGGCTCTATAAAAAGAACGGTTCAGATTTTGCGGCTCACTTTTTTGTACATCTTTTCATTCTGAGATCTTGATTACTCATGTCTTGGTTGCTTTTGGAGCTCCCGAATATTTTTTTTTTCCATACAGCAGTGATAATTTGTCAAAGCTCTGAAAGTTTCCTTGTGTCTGAGTGGTTGCCTGCCCTCTTTCTCTGCTCCTATAGTCATTAAACAACCAACAGAGAAATGGTGAGTAAGAAGTTACGCTCATTTAAGTGAGTTTCCATCTCTCCAGGATCCTGGCCTCTTATGTATTTGTTGCCTTATCCAGACTTTCACCTACATGTTTTATGAGAGCAGGACAAAGGAAATGTATATATATACACCAGGATTTAAGGATAACAGAGAAGATGCAGACAAAAGAGTAATGGAAACCTGGTGGAATATGTTATAGAAGATGGCAAAGACTTAACTTTCCAGTTGTTAAGTGGGAGCTTACGTTTTTAATTTGGAAAGCAGAAATAATACAGAATCTACCATTGGAAAATAAAAAAGGAGATTATTTTTGCCCCACAGTTCCAGCATAGAGAGGAATGTTTCTTAGGTAAACTCTCCAGTGAATATCACATAGTCAATGCCAAGAACCCAGGGATATTTCCCATCCCAGTGGAAACAGGGCTACAGCACCACTATAAATGCCTACCTTTGCTTACGAAAGTGTGAATCCGGAGAGATATCAGAAGTTGTTTGCAAAATTGAGACTTTCAGAGATATTTGAAAAGAAAGGTAAGATTGCATAATACTGGTTAGGCCTGTGGGAAGCAACATGGGAGATGAGGAATGAATCATGCTAAGCTAAAATAGATATGTGGAGGGAAAGTACAGAGAGTTGGAGAAAAGATAAAGAACACAGAGATAAACTTTGGGCATTTCAAATTTTATACCCATAAATTATCGTGACTATATACTGTCATATATATGCAAATATCTCTTTGCATCCATAATCCTAAACATGCAGCTACAGATGAGATGCTGATAGAAAAAATCTGTAGGGAGGTGGGAAGAGATAGCATGGGGAGAAATGACAGATACAGGTGAGGGGACGGAAGGCAGCAAAGCACACTGCCATGTGTGTACCTATGCAACAATCTTGCATGTTCATCACATGTACCCCAAAACCTAAAATGCAATAAAAAAAAAAAGAAAAAGAAAAAAATCTGTATCGGCTCAGCTACTTTTTCTTTTTCACTTTATATGCTAGGGATGAAATGTGGATATCGAGAAGTCAAGGACTATATTTTTCTGGTACTGAGAGTGTTGTCAAACCTAGTAAACGAGACCAGCAAGTATGATTTTGAATGAAGGAACTCATGAATGAATAAATTATAAAGCATAACCATGAATGTTGGTAGAGTTGAATTGGTTACCTTGTTTGTTTTTCATAAAACCCAAGAATAAGGTAGGAAAGCAGAAGAGAAATGCTCTTTTATATCTCCATTTCTGATGGGTATCAGCCAAATATGAACTCCTACAACTTCCAGGCATTTACCCCTAAAGCCTATCATTTTCACACTGTTTCCAAAATTGATAACATGTAGATGGTTCAGGTTGTTTTACAGCAGCATATGTCATGGAATTGGAAACAGATATAAGATTAAAACATATATAGGAGGGTTTATTAATCTCAACCTACTGATATTTTGGGCAACATAATTCTTTGCTCTGGGAAGTCTTCACTTCAGTATATTTAGCAGCATCCTTGACATCTATACACTAGATACCAGTAGCACTTACTCGAAGTTGTGATAATCACAGGTATGCTCAGACATTGTCACATATTCCCTAGGGGAAAAGTTGCCCCTGATTGCACACCACTGGTGCAGAAAATCTATTCTTATTCTTATCAGTTTCAGGACATGAAATGGTATTCATGACTGTGCGGCAAGGCAGGTAGATGGATGGAAGCTGTGGAATATGAAAGAACAGTGATTACCATGATGCAGAACTGAGAAAATTGCTGTTTGATATAGGTTCATTTTTAGATGTTAGAAATCATGGTCTCACAGGAGAGAATAAGACTCAGTCTCATCACTGTAGCTGGCAAATATTTTGGGATCTATGAAAACTTGTTGGTAGATGACTAGATCACTATACACTTCCGGGGAATGTATAAGTCACAGGTTGGTTTGCTCAGTGTTTATTAATTAGGAAGAGTGGCTAATTCGGCTCTTAGGAAGGCACCAATTCTGGAGAATGCACCTGGATAATCAGGATTGGGATTGGGATGGACTTTCTTCTTTGGATAAAATGACAACAGTCCTACCTCATGCTCTAGGTAGGGCTTGAGAATGACTGAGACACTGATCAGTTAACAAGTAGAGATATCCATCTCCAGAATCTGAAGAAGGCTACACAGAGAGCCACAGAATGTAAGTCCTGAATGGAAACTCACCCTGTAAAGTAGGGCCATTGAGAATTTTGATTTCTGTTCTCAATTTGTATATCTTTTTCTCTTTACCTGCAATAAACTTCCTATACTATTTTGTCTGTAAAACTGTAGTTGGCTTTGATCTATTTTACCTCATCCATGGAGCTTCTTTGTCCTAATACATAATGACAATATTTTCCTTTTTTTCTGCCATAAATACATTTTATTCTGATTTTATTTTTTTCAATTATGTCTTCCTCACTATACTGTGAAAATATTGATCAAGTCTTATTTAAAATTTCTATCTAAATTTCTATTTAGTATCCCCAAATTTCTCTAATTTTTGCTATTTCTAATAGGTTCCAGCTGGACAGCATTCTTTGCTAGAGGCTGTCCAGTTGGAACCTATTAGAAATAGCAAAAAGAAGAGAATTTTTCCTGGGTTAAAGGGGCAATGATGCTTTTTTTTAAAAATATCTTCATTTCTGATGGGTACCACCCAAATACAAACTTCCACAACTTCCAGGCATTTATCCCTAAAGCCTATCATTTTCACACTATTTCCAAAGTTGTTTCATCTCAGGAAGATATCCAGCAATAAGCTTCTCCTTTCTTGATTAAAAAAAATTGGAATAAATAAATCTAACATTTTGTCACTCAAGCTAGTTGCTATATAGCAAACCATTTAATAATAATTTTATTTAGTGTTTTAAAAGGTCCATAAAAAACATCCAGATCTGGAATTGAGGACAGCTTTTTTGGACTACCAATTTCAATGGTACCTAACATGATATGCCATTTTCCACGCATAAGCAAGGTAAAATAGAATTTGAATACAGTAGATCCCAGAAAATTAGAAACTCTGTAGGTGCCCCTGATTGACCTTCATGAGATAATTTCCTTAATGAGTTTGAAATTTTGCATATTTGGTAGATAATTAGACCATTTCAATGTAAGATACCACATAAACTCAAGTTTTACCCTAACTTTAAAAGTACTTGTGCGAAATGTTTTCATCCGTGCCTTTATTCATGATACAAAATATTTTGGATGAAGACTGCTTTTGGAAGACAAACTTAAGGTAAAAATTACGTTACTAATCATACGGGTCATGCTGGTTGTTGTTATTTTCTCTCTTACTCCTTTGCTTGACAAACATGTTTTCTGAGAACTTATACGTGTGAAGTTTTAGGTGCATAAATAAACAAAAGTAAATGTGTAGTTTGTTTTCAGATGTATATATGTATAATTAAGTATATGTGTTTATATATAAATGATAACTCTAAACATTAATATATATTAATAGTTATGACATATATTAATGATCAAATTCTCTAATAGGAGAATGAATTGGATTACCTAAATTATATTTCATGTGCATTAGCTACTATATTTGTAACACCACCAGATGCAGAGAACAAAGACATTTATGATTCTCACTTCTTACCCTGAATATTACCTGATAGATAGATATCTTCTCCTTTCTCTTCTTGTTCAACATTTTGTGGAAGAAAGGATCTGGTGAAGAGTAAGGCTAAATCTATTCCTGGAACTCTCTGATGTTGAGATAAGGATGGTATAAGTGTTGATAATATCAAATGAAATAAAAGAAGTATTGAAATGTGATTTTGCATTTTACCAGGAGTCTGAAGAAAGAAGAAAGTGGAACAAAAATCACTAATGAGAAGCCAGTTTCTAACTCTGATACACACAATCACCAATAGTAGCAGGGAGGATGGCCATTTCTAATGACACCCAGCTCCATCTTTCTTCATTCCTCCTCCAGGGCATCCCAGGGCTGGAAGATATGCACATCTGGATTGGATTTCCTTTCTTCTTTGTGTATCTCGTTGCACTCCTGGGAAACATTGCTGTCTTGTTTGTGATCCGGACTGAGCAGAGTCTCCATGAGCCCATGTACTACTTTCTGGCCATGTTGGATTCCATTGACCTGGGCTTATCCACAGCCACTATTCCCAAAATGCTGGGCATCTTCTGGTTCAGCCTCAAGGAAATATCTTTTGGAGGCTGCCTTTCTCAGATGTTCTTCATCCACTTCTTCACTGCCATAGAGAGCATTGTGTTGGTGGCCATGGCCTTTGACCGCTACATTGCCATTTGCAAACCCCTTCGTTACACCATGATCCTCACCAGCAAAATCATCGGCCTCATTGCAGGCATTGCTACTCTACGGAGCCTGTTTATGGTGGCTCCACTGGTATTTCTTCTCCTAAGGTTGCCTTTCTGTGAGCGCCATATCATCCCTCATACTTACTGTGAGCACATGGGCATTGCCCGTCTGGCCTGTGCCAGCATCAAAGTCAACATAATATTTGGCCTTGGGAATGTATTTATTTTATCATTAGATGTAATTTTTATTATGCTTTCCTATGTGAGGATCCTTTATGCAGTCTTCTGCTTGCCCTCCTGGGAGGCCCAGCTCAAAGCACTTAATACCTGTGGCTCCCACATTGGTGTTATTTTATCCTTTTTTACACCAGCATTTTTCTCTTTCTTGGCACATCGTTTTGGCCACAATATCCCTCTATATATCCACATCCTCTTAGCCAATCTATATGTAGTTGTTCCACCAGCCCTCAATCCTGTAATCTATGGGGTCAGGACCAAGCAGATTCGAAAGCAAGTATTGAGGATCTTTTTCTTAAAAGATGGTTAACTACTGGTAGTCTTAAAATGTCTAATAATTAATATTTCCTCCATATGTTCATGGTAAGGAGTGTATTGCCTAAAAAGATAGAATGCAGGTAGCAAAGGTGAATTGAACAGCAATGACATGTCTTTCTCCATAATTTTTTGAGTTTAAGCACAGTAATGAGTTTATTGATGGTAATAATACAATCTGTAAAGATTGCATCTTTCATAAAGTGCTTACACTTACATTGCTTGGTCACCCAAGGTAACCCTACAAAGGAGTTTTTCTTTAGTTTTTAGATTAATAGCTTCATACTTAAGACTGTAAAATGTTTCATCTGAGGATCCAACTATTAGTTAATTAAGCCATGCCATTTTTAAATTTTTGCAGTTTCCGAATCACCAAAGGGACTAGGAAAGCAGTGGAATAAAATTTCTTCAGTCATTATAGATAATTTTGGTGACAGGATTCTCAAAATATCAATAAGACATCAATTAATTCATTGGCACTTACTGTTTTAAATAATTTACTGAAATTGACATACTTGTTTGTTATGTGAACTCTATGATAAGGTAACTGTTAAAATTTCCATTTTCATATAAGTGAACTGTAGTTCAGAAAATTCTGCAATAACAGATTATAATTGGTAGTTTGGATCCAGATACCTACAGTAACAAAAGCAGACATGTATTTAAAAGTGGATGAAAGAGAACAGGAAGTAATGGTGCATAATTACAGAGGATACATTTATTACATTAATATTTATGAACTTCTATATGCACCATGTTGTATTTGGCTGTTTGGTTGAAGGATAGATACAATGGTAGAATCCTATGGCCTGAGAAATCAACAATGGGAGGCTACTAAGTTTAAGAACATTATGCTATATATTTACATATTAATTTACATGTGGAAGAGGCTTTTTAGAAATTTTGTGATAATACTCCAGATGGATTAAAGATCTAAACATAAGACCTAACACCATAAAAACCGTAGAAGAAAACCTAGGTAAAACCATTCAGGACATAGGCATAGGCAAGGACTTTATGGCTAAAACACTGAAAGCAATGGCAACAAAAGCCAAAATAGACAAATGGGATCTAATTAAACTCCAGAGCTTCTGTACAGCAAAGGAAACAATCATTAGAGTGAACTAGCAACCAACAAAATGAGAAACATTTTTGTAATCTACCCATCTGACAAAGGGCTAATATCCAGAATCTACAAAGAACTAAAACAGATTTACAAGAAAAAAACCAAACATGCCCATTCAAAAGTAGGCGAAGAATATGAACAGATACTTAACAAAAGAAGACATCTATGGGCCAAAAAACATGAAAAGATGCTCATCATCACTGTCATCAGAGAAATGCACATCAAAACCACATTGAGATACCATCTCATGCCAGTTAGACTGGCAATCATTTAAAATTCTGGAGACAAAAGATGCTGGAGAGGACATGGAGAAATAGGAACACTTTTACACTGTTGGTGGGAGTGCAAATTAGTGCAACCATTGTGGAAGACAGTGTGGCGATTCCTCAAGGACCTAAAAATAGAAATACCATTCGACCCAGCAATCCCATTACTGGGTATATACCCAAAGAACTACAAATCGGTCTGCTATCAAGACACATGCACATGCATGTTCATTGCAGCCTGTTTACAATAGCAAAGACCTGGAACCAACCAGATGTCCATCAACAATAGACTGGATTTTAAAAAGGTGGTACATATACACCATGGAATACTATGCATCCATAAAAAACAATGAGTTGGTGTTCTTCATAGGAACATGGATGAATCTGGAAACTATCATTCTCAGCAAACTGACACAGAACAGAAAATCAAACACTGCATGGTATCACTCATAGGCAGGTGTTGAACAATTAGAACACGTGGACACAGGGAGGGGGAGCATCACACACTGCAGTCAGTTGAGGGTGACTAGGGGAAGGACAGTGGGGAGTGGGGAGGGTGGGGAGGGATAATGTGGGAAGAAATACCAGATATAGGTGATGGGGGTAGGAAGGCAGCAAACCACCTTGCCATGTATGTACCTATGCAACAATCCTGCATGATCTGCACATGTACCCCAGAACCTAAAGTACAATAATAATAGTAATAATAATAATAATACACAATGTATATTCCAAATATTGAGCCGATGTATTAAAGATAGGCATACAAAACTGAAAATATATTTGACTTCCTTTTATTTTCTATGACAATTATATGGCATATTATTGATCTATTCCATTAAAAATGTACCATTTGAAACTACATTCATGCAAATCTACTAGAGTTATGTTATGTCTTTTAACTTTAACTAAAACTGCTGGTTCTTTATCAGTCTATGAGCATGGAAATTCTACTTCATAACCAGAAAAGGTAATAGATAAAGAATGATTATGCGGTACCCACTAAATTTTATCATAATTCTAGAAAAAATATTATAAACAGGACAGCATATATATTCATGTATCAGGCTTGTTAAAAAATTTATAAGCTACAGTAAAAATTTTTGTATTTAGAAAACCTAATTGTTCAAATGAACATATCAGGTCAATTTGATAAACAGACATCAGATAATTAAATCAAGCTAATCTGTATATTCAAAACCTTCTGACTTTAGGTAAGGTAGGAAAGCTTTAGTCAGCCAAGTAAACAATTCAAAAACTTATTTGTTGGTACATGACAAATAAACATAATATTATACATTTAAATATAAATAAATGCAAAAATGAAAAACATCATGTTCAGCAACTTGACCTTGGCTTAAATAATAACAGGAAGAAAAAAAATCCGAAAGATTTCCTAAAGAACAATACACAGATTGAAAATAGGTTTTTGAATGATCAGATAATGAAAATTAAAATTATCTGTTTGGGACACTTACATTAGACATTATTGGTGTTTACTAATATTTCCAGTTTTCTTATTCTCTTCAGGAATATGAGATGATTACACATGCCCAGCCCCTTGTAGTTAGACATGGCCATGTGACTTGCAGCAAATAAAAAGATTTGTATTAATTCTTGAAGGAAACACCTAAGAATGATTATGTGCTTTGCATTTTTACACTATACAAAAAAACACATTCCACTTGAATTATGGATGTAAACTTGAAAGGAAAAATAATACAACCTTTGGAAACAAAGATAATATCTTCATGACTTTAAAATAAGGAGACATTGTAAAATAGAATCCAAGTACATAGGCATACGCATGCTAACAATATTGGAAATACATTGATTAGCCAGTGTATGTAAAAATGAAGAACTTCTTTCATTAAATATGCTATCAGCAGATAAAATCAGCAAACTACATTACTTGTATATAAAATATATAGAGAATTATTACAAATCAATAAGGAAGAAAGCCTACCACATAGATAAATGAGGAAGGTTTTGAATGATAATTTCTTAGAATATCCAAATTTCTAGTAAATATGAAAAAAGATGCTCTACTTTCCTCATCATAAGGGAAAGAATATTTAAGACCACCAGGCAATTCCACTATACACTGACCAGCATGGCTAAAATAAAAAATATTAAGTGGTAAGAAAGATGTGGAGTAAATGACATCCTCATACATTGACGGTAAGAAAGTCAATTAGTAAATCATTTTTCAAGGTTGACAATATCTCCAAAAGCTTGTCATGTATATATGCTATGATCTCCAAATCCCAGTCCTAGCTATGTATCTATCAATATCATTAAATATTTTCACCTAAAGATATATGCATCAATAATTACAGAAGTAGTTTCTATAACAGCCAATAATTGATATAGCACAAATGCAGATTAATAGTAGAATGTACATAGTGCAATGTATTTATATAGTGAAATACTAATTTACAATAAGAATGAACAAGCTATAACTACAAATAATATATTGAGTGAAATAAATCGGATAGAAAAAGTTTGTTATAGACACAGTCATGCACTGCATAACGACATCTCAGTCAACAAAGGACTTCATATACAGTGGTCCCATACAATTATAATGAAGCAAATGTAGTAACCTGCTATTTGGCAGTTGTTACTAATATTGCAGATCAAGTAGGAGAAATGATTGATACTCAGTAATGGCAGTGGAACATTTGGTTTTCCATATTAAAAATATATAAAAATAAAAAATAGGCACAATTTAGGTTTGTGTAAGCACATTTTCTGATGTTCGCAGAATGACAACCTTGCCTAAAGAGACATTTCTTATAACATATCCTCATTGTTAAGTGATGCATAACTGTAATATATATCATATAAACATTGTTATATAACTATTGGTGCAAAATAATAATGATAGTTTTTATTATTAAAACATTATAATAATAACATATTAAGTTTAATATGTATTATTACATTTATTTAAAGTTCAGGAACAGGGTAACACAAGGGTTGAATTGTCAAAATGAGGTTTACACAAACTTATAACAAAATTTCCAATAATTCAAATGATTTAGGAAATCAGAATGTTTCCTTTTTTATACAACTGTATTTTATTGTAAAAACTTTCAAACAATATAAACGTTAGCAGAGAAAAAATGAAAACTCCTCTTCTCCCTTGACCTCTCTCCACTTCTATAAGTCTCTCCAGAAGTAACTTTTGTCAATTGTTTGATATGTGTCTTCCACATGTTTTAAAATTTATGCTATTGTGATAAGAACAGTCCACATGAGATGTACTCTCTTAAGTTTTTGTAGTATATAATATATCATTACTGACTATAGGTACAACATTGTATATCAGGCCTCTAGATGTTACTCATCTAGAGCTTATTAATCTTGTTTAACTAATACTTTATGCCCTTTGAATAGAAATTTCCTATTTTCTCTTTCTCCTGGTTCCTGGTAACCCTCATGTTTTCGAGTCTATTAATTTGGCTTGTTTAAATACTTTATGTAAGTGGACTCACATAGTACTTGTCTTTCTGTTACTGACTTATTTCACTTAGCATAATGTTCTCAAAGTTCATCCACATCATTGCATATTGAAGAATTTTTCTCTCTTTTTTTTTT